TCTATCCGTCTATGGGATGTTAAAACAGGATAATAAAAAGCCAAATTAGATGGCCATAATAATTCTATCTACTCAGTCTGTTTCTCTCCTGATGGAAATACATTAGCTTCTGGTAGCAGTAATAAGTCTATCCGTTTATGGGATGTAAAAACAGGATAATAAAAAGCCAAATTAAATGGTCATAGTGATTTTGTTAAATCAGTCTGTTTCTTTGCTGATGAAAATACATTAGCTTCTGGTAGTAGTGATAACTCGATCCGTCTATGGGATGCCAAAACAGGTTAATAAAAAGCCAAATTAGACGGTCATATTAGTTGTATTAACTCAATCTGTTTCTCTCCTGATGGGAATATATTAGCTTCATGTAGTGCTGATTAGTCTATTCGTCTATGGGATGTCAAAACAGGATAATAAAAAGCCAAATTATTTGGTCATACTAGTTGTATTAACTCAGTCTATTTCTCTCCTGATGGGAATATATTAGCTTCATGTAGTGATGATTAGTCTATCCGTCTATGGGATGTCAAAAGAGGATAATAAAAAGCCGAATTATATGGTCATACTAGTTGTATTAACTCAGTCTGTTTCTCTCCTGATGGATATACATTAGCTTCTGGAGGAGGTAGATAATGTAGAGTTGGGGATTGTACTATCCGTCTATGGGATGTCAAAACAGGATAATAAAAAGCCAAATTAGACGGTCATATTAGTTTTATTAACTCAGTCTGTATCTCCCTTGATGGAAATACATTAGCTTCTGGTAGTGCTGATTAGTCTATTTTTCTATGGGATTTCAAAACAGGATAATAAAAAGCCAAATTATATGGTCATACTCATTTTGTCAACTCAGTCTGTTTCTCTCCTGATGGAAATACATTAGCATCTGGTAGTTATGATAATTCTATCCGTCTCTGGGATGTCAAAACAGGATAATAAAAAGCCAAATTAGATGGTCATACTAGAGAAATTATGTCAGTCTGTTTCTCCCCTGATGGAAATAAATTAGCTTCTGGTAGTAATGATAAATCGATTCGTCTCTGGGATGTCAAAACAGAATAATAAAAAGCCAAATTGGATGATCATAGTAATTAAGTTTGGTCAGTCTGTTTTTCTCCTGATGGAAATACATTATCATCTGTTATTAATGATAGCTCTATCCGCCTTTGGGATGTAAAGACAGGATAAGAAATTAAATCCTTTGATAACAACTACAAAGATATTCTTGCATAATTTAAGATTCCACTCCATAAAAATAGTCATATTTCCGAAGGTACTATTTATCACCTATAATATTTTTAGCCTCCAATTACATCACCACACTCCTTATATCCTAATAGGTATTATTTTAAGCATAAGGAGCACTAATTTTGAAAGGAGAATTTATAAATCAATCAGGTATAGATTTAAAGACATTGTTTAAACAAAAAGGAAGTTGCATTTTAG